AGGGTTTAGGAAGACGAACCAAGCCCGGATGCAAAAGGGTTTAGGCAGATGAGGATGCCCACATTATGACAGGGAATGAGCCCCGTATCCATACCAGTAGGGGCTACGTGTTCCTTGGACGGTTTTGACTTTTTTGGGGTGTCTGCAACCCAAAGTCCCCACAGCGCAAACCCCTTCCTTCGCAGACCCTTCTTTCCTTCACCCCCTCCCCCCCTCCCCCTCCCCCCCCTCTCCCCTCTTAAACCCTAAACCCTAAAGCCTAAACCCTAAACCCTTAACCCTCCCTACCAAAAGTCGAAAGGTTTCCACGTCGGAGCGCATCGCAGTCATCGCCGATGCGCTGGGCGCGGAGCTCGCGCCAGCACGCTGGGCTGCTTGAACAATGTCGAGACGGGGTTTGGGGGTTTAGGGTTTTGAGGGTTTGTAAGGTTAGGGAAGGGGCAGGGCAAACAGGAGAATGGCCGAATGTAGGGAATATAGGGTTACCACGCGTTTGAGATTTTCCCCGGGCAGGAAATATTTTCCCCGGGCAGGAAATATTCAAATAAATAACCCTATAAACCCCAAACCCTACTAGTAACCCAAAGTCGGAATCGGCTTTGTCCCGAGGTCGGCTCCAAACCTCACAAGGGTCACCTCACGGCCACCTTCTGCGTCGCGGCTGCGAAGATCTCGAATTTGCCAGAGAGCCCAAGACCCCCTTAACTGATGAATACACCTTAAACCACATGAAGGAAGCCTGCCATAGTTTATAAGGTATGTTCCTTCATTAAGGGTATTGGGCTTTCTGGGTTCGTAGGGGATGGGGGGATTTAAGGCTGTGAGAGTCGAAGCATCGCAGAAGGGCTTGGGACCCTGCGAGCTCTGGGGAGGTAGGTGGCGCCCCCAAATCCAGCAAGCTTTGGAACATTTAGGGTTTAGGGTTTGGGGTTTAGGGTTTAGGGTTTAGGGTTTAGGGTTTGGGGTTTGGGGTTTAGGGTTTAGGGTTTAGGCAATCAACTCAGGCGATCACTTCGGTCCGGAGGCTTTTGCTTTTCGCGCCGGCTCTTCATGCGCTTTGCGTCCTTTCTTCCAGGATGGTCAGGTTGTGGCCTCCACAGCGTCAGAGAACACACATGATTTTTGGAGCGGTTTATGCCCATGAAAGAGGGGAAGCAGCAAATTCCCTAAGCATTCTTCTTCCAAAATCACCCCAAAGTTCCCCCGAAAATATCTCGAGACATCAGCTAAATTCCGCTCAGTATCCCTAAGCCCCTTTGGCAGAACTCCTGCAGGCTGACCTCATCGCTGCCCGTCCCGGTGGCCGGCTTTGGGTAGCCTCGGCCGAGAGCGGCACCGTGAGGACTGGTTAGGTTTAGGAAGTTGAGGGGGTTTAGGGTGAGTTTAGGGTTTTAGGTCTATAGGGTTTAGGGTTTTAGGCTTCTTGGCACGGATGTAAAAGGCTGCTTGGCACGTCAGAGCTTCCTGGAGCAAGGTTTGCTTGGGAATTAGGGTGATGCAGGCGGTGGTTGGAGAGACCTTGTAGGGCTTCGGTGCCCTTCTTCCCTGTTGGTTCTGGGCTAGAAACAGGTGCCCTTAGTGTAATATGGTTCCTGGGCTACCAAGGTTGAAGGGTTCTTTAGGCTCTCTAGGGCTCTGAAGAAGCCATTCTGGCCCAAGGGGCATAGGCACCGCTGGCCGCGAAGTAGCCATGAAGGTGCTCGTGAACTGCCAAGACTTGAAGTTTGAGGTGCAATGCGGTGCTGGCAAGCAGCACATGCGCTGGCTGGCACTAGTTGCTGCCTCACGCGTGCAGAGGGAGAAGTATCCGCACGCCTTCAGGGTGCCCCAAAGAGTTGTGAACTCCGAGGGCATGACGCTCAAGCCTCGACAAGTGATCTGCGCCACCTTGGAGGATTCTGAAGAGGTCTTTATCGAACTCCGGCAAGGCGCCGCTATTGCTGAGGAGGATGTCGACGCACTCGAGTGGTCCGAAGAAGCATATGGCCCTCAAGCCAACCTGATGGAATGCAAGTTCAGGTGGAAGGTTGGTGGCCAGCAGGATTTCCCAAAGTATGTGCGTGGCGAGTACGTCGTCGCACCTCGGTGGCAGGGAGTATATCCCCAGAAAGACTATGGTGGCCCCTTCGAGATACAGATCATCCCCGTGGACATCACACCGGATGAGGTGGACTGGATTGCTTCCAGGAAAGCGCCGCCCGGCAGCTGTACCTACAGGTTTGTCATGAAGAATCTTGGCTTCCTCCGGCTGGCTCTTAGGAGTTTAACCTTTTGGGTTTTTTGGTAGAAGCTACAACAAGGAGCCTAACAGGTAAACTTTCAGGACGGGTTCAGAATTCAGAAGTCCGCCAAGGAATGACTACGAGTCCATTTGCAAGGCTGACCCGGACACTTTGACTTCGGACGGCCTCGCGCACTACATCGAGTTTCATTGGGACGTGCCAATTGCTCCCGAGCCCTATCCGGAAATCGACAGCCGGCCTTCCACGGCGTCCTCCAGAGATGGGGCGCAAGTCGATCCCAGATTCGAGCAGGACTGGGAGGCCCTACGACTAAAGTGGGTGGAGTCCTTCATGAAGGTGCGTGTGAAGGACGTGCTGACGGAGTTTTACGCCATTCTGATCGACTTGTTCGACTCCTATGCGTTCATGGGCTTGGACCTTTCGGCAAGCCAGCACACAATTGGCATGGATGATTGGAAGCACCTGGTCATCAACTGTGGCTTGCTGGAGGGTCAGGCAGAGGGCTCACTAAGCTGGTCCCAGGTCTGCGCGTGGTTTGAGGAAGCCGCGGGTATCCGGGATGGAAGGCCCTTTTTGGCTCAGAGGCTGACCCGGGCGCACTTTCTGGAGCTGTTGATGCGGACAGCATCGTGGACCATGTGCGAGCATCCTCGGGAGAAGTACGCACCGGAGAAGGGGAGGCCGCCCATGCCCCTGGACGAGGGGCTCTTCCGTTTCATCACGGACATACTGATTCCAGTTATGGACATCTACGATGACGACCCGATTCGAAAAGATGCAGTTCAGCATGAAAACCTTGTGGTGATTCAGGAGAACCGACGGTCGATCCGGTCGATCTATGCTTTCTTGGCGCAGCCATGGCCACACTATCAAGGAGAGCGTGTTTTAGTTCCGGCTACTCTCAAGTATGTCTTGGAGTTCGCCCACGAGAAGCTGTCAGAAGCAGGTGGTGAGGGCGCCCCGCCACCGCCGGCAGAGGGGGAGGCTGCCGAAGCGCCTGCTGTTAAGGCTGTCAGTGTTGACATGGCTGCCGTCTTCGGTGGGGAGGAGCGCCTCGACCTCGAACAGCTTCAGGTGATCCTGCAGAGCTTTGATTCTCACGTTAGCAAGATCACTGCGAATCACCCAGAAGAGTTTGACGCGCGAGCACTTCTCTTCTGGGAGTTCTTTGAGGTGGTCATGGATTCCTGCCGTGGTTTGGTGGCCGGGCTGGGCACGCCTCTGGATAAGGCCATTCCCGCATACGTGCAGACAGTGCTGGCCTTCATGGGACTGGTTGATCGAGAGGAAGCAGCCCTGCCTCCACCACCCGTCCAGGGCATGGACGGGGCGGATGACGAAGTTCTAGCTGACATAGAAGACGAGTGATTTCAACATGGCAGCCGTGCCATTGCATCGTTTCACCTTCGCGTGCTGAAATCAAGCACGTGCGATTGTTCTCTGGCGTTGCATGATTCTCGTGACAACTTCTCAGAGTATCTTTTCACCGTGAACTCGTTCCAAAAGCCTCGCCGGCCTGTGCTCGTGTGAGAGTCGAAAGAGCCGCCAAAGGGGGGTTTGCGGGTTCTGGGCCCATGCGCCATGCGCAGAATGCAGTGTCACTCGTAGATGCCGCCTTTCCACCTGAGCACAGCCCCATACTGCCCCCCAACTGCCACCCCAGCCTACTACCCACCCCCCCCCCCCTGCTGCCCCCCCTCCCCCCCATACTGCCCTGCCCCCACGTCTCTGGACAGGACAACGTTGATTTTCCAGAACCCGGGCGGCGAGGGCAAGGCCAGAGCATTCCAGCGCATGCAAGGCCATGAAGAACCTAGTAGTAGAGTAGGTTGAAGAACCTGGTAGTAGAGCAGGTAACCTTTAACCTTTTGGGGTAGTAAAATCCTCTTCTAATCCTAAAGGTTAACCTTTAGCTCCCCCCAGGTTACTGGACAACTAAGAGAATCTCAAAGACTCGAAGGACCCACCAAGCAGCATGCTGACGCACGCATCAAGATGCAGCAATGATTTCCATGCTTGCTAAGTCTTTTGGCCCACAAGCTCCTAACTTAACTCACCCTCTGCACACACGTAAAAATGTAAATTGTAAACGCTTGCGCGCGCCGCCTCGGCAGCCGGGCCGGCCCCAGGACAGGAAAGGAGGAAAGAGGGTTTCGCAAAAAAAGGGGGGAAGGGCAGAGCGGGTGGGGGGGGGGGGGTGTGGGGGGGGTGGGGCGGGGGGTGGGGGGGGTGGGGGGGGGCTGGGGGGGGGGGGGGGGGGTGGGGGGGTGGTGGGGGGGTGGGGGGGGTGCGGGGGTTTTTGAGGCACTCCCCCTGTAGGAGCCACCGACAAGCGGGACCCTCCATGGCATCGGTTTGCAGCCCTTAGGGTTTTAGTGGTTTTTCTGCCGGCAGCCTCATAGTCCGTTGCTCCAAAGGTTTCAAGGAAAGCCATGTAAGCCCTAAGCCCATTCTCGTCACGTGGACTTCCTCTGCTGTGTCGAAAAAAACCCTCGGACATTACCTCATTGCCTTGCCTGCTGTTGTTCACGCGTGATGGCCGAGGCCAGTTGTCTTGCCTGCGCCGTGCGAGTGCGAGAGAGCACCTCCATGCCTAAGCACAAAACCCTTTTAATTTAGGGGTTTGGGGTTTAGGGTTCCTTTGCAGCTCAAAGAGCTTACGAAGCCGGATCCCGGCAGCAGTGGGCCCGCATGCAAGACGGGTTCCTTCGCACGAGGCAGCCTTGGGCTCGCTCCTTCCCCTGCGGGGCGACCGCGTGCTCAGTGTCGCACGGAGTGATGCAGCGGAGGCAGCCCAGGCCGCGCAGGGTTTATTTTGGGGTCTGGTTTACATATGGGGGATTACCAATTTAAGGGACCCTTCATATAGTCCAGAAAGTAGTAGGATTCCCTTCTTAATGAGGACCCCAACAGTTTCGGAAGCCCCCATATGCATCCGCACTCCACGTTCTCCCTCCTCCCCCCTCAATCCTCAGCCCTAAACCCACCAGGTCCCCCAACCGGGCTTAGGGTTTAGGGCTTCCCTGCCTTGTCCTAGGTGTGAGCGATGAAACCCACCACGAACCAAGTAGGGGGCAGAGGGGAAAACCTAAACCCTCAAACCCATCCCTGTAAGCCAGCCTTAAACCACCGCATGGAAGACAGGATTGGCAAAGTAGGCTGCATCCAACGTTGCGCTTACTGAGTGGGATGCAGTTAGAGTCCAAAATGGAGAAGATCGCTCTTCGCAAGAACCATGAGTTTGGCGCCACAGGTTTAGGGTTTATGGTGTACTTGGACCACCAGAGTATGATTAAAAAATCGACCCAAACCCACACAAGGGTAACTAGTTTACACATTTCGGGGGTTTTGGTAGGAATTGGGTCACCCCCAAGCCCCAAAACACCCTAAACCCTAAACCCCAAACCATGCCCAGCCGAACCTCCCGGAGGTGGTGCTCTTGGACCTCGAGGCCATCGCAATTTGCTCGCAGTGGTCCACGCCCTCCGCTGCTCGGCTGGCAAGTTTTCGTTTTTTTTTCTCCCAGAAATGGCTATAGCAGCAAGAATCCTTTATTTTCAAGAATCATGGCTAGAGCAACAGCAATCCTGTGAAACTTGAACCGTGTGTGAGTACATCTAGCCTCTTCCCCGAAGGTCGTCGATGCGGTGCCCTGTCCTGGCGGAGCTCTGCTGGCGCATGCGCAGGTGCGATGGGCCTCTGGGAAGTTGCATCAATCAACGGTTTAGGGTGTAGGGTTTAGGGTTTAGGGTCCTGACTCATGGATTCGCAAGGCTTGCGATCGTAGCCACGAGTGCTAGGGTCTGCGACTGTTGCTAAGACTTTCCGGCGCCAGGACATCATAGCCCGGATGCAAAAAAGGGTTTAGGGTTTAGGGCATGCCAAGGTTCTCTCTGGGTAGCCATTCCTGATGAGCTCCTGAGCCAGGGCTCAGGCATGACCGAAATGCGCCACCCGCCAAAAAGGCACCTCCTGAGAAGTCGATTGCAAAAGCTCCCTGAGGTTTCGCTTCAGAGAGCTCATGCGCCTAAACCCTAAACCCTCAACCCTCAACCCTAAACCCTAAACCCTAAACCCGAAGTAGGTCCAGAGAGTCAGCCTTTCCGGGGAGTGCTTTTTCACGGTTCGCAGCGTTTCGCAGCCTTGTCTCCTGTGCCAGGGAGGGGCCTCGCTGGTGTTGCTCTCAGCTGGGTGCCTTGAGCCTTGTTCCAGTGGGTTCCCTTACCCTCCTCTATACTACCCCCCCTAGGTTCCCCCAGAGTTAAGGCTTTAAGGGAAACCTAGGGGGGGGGGGGGGTAGTATAAAGGGGGGTCGTAGGGAACCCATGACCTTGAGAAAGCATGGAAAGCACTGGCGATCTGCATCCGTTTGTAGCATGGGGGCCTTGGACGGGTCTTGTGGAGCAGCACATGCAGGACGACATTCTGAGTCACGCTGGCCACTGCGACTCTAGGTCTTCGATGTGTGTGTGTGTGTGCACCATCATCCGTTTATGTAAAAAGTTACACGTGTTAACGTGTGGCAGCTCCATGAACCTTGACGTAGAGGGGTCTCAGGCCCTTGGTGATCTGCGCCTGGCTTGCAAGAAGACGACTTTTCGAAGCGCTGTTGAAGTCTACAGAGCCAGCATTCATAGTGTAATTGCATGGGGGCCTTGGATTCTCATGGGGGAGTGGGCCAGGTAACCCCCCCCCCCCCCCCCCAAAAAAAAAAAAACCTCCTTCAACCCCAAGCCCTAAGCTCCCCTGCGAATGCGACGTTGGATAATTGATGCACCAACCGCGGACTCAAACGGCAGCAAAAGGAGAACTCCAATGGGCCCAATTTTGCCACGTCATATCTTTGGGTTGTTTGCATGTGCCTACATGTATATATATATATATACATATATATATATATATACATATATGTATATATACACATGTCGTTTCTGTAGATCTACAATATAATATACAGATACATATGATTATTATTATTATGATTACTTGTCCATCCGTTTTTCTTTGTGCAAACCCAGCTCGAGGCCGCGCCACCATCGCCGCGCAGGGCGCCAACCTCCTGGGGAGCCTGGCGAAGGTAAACGCATTGCGGCATCCCTGGCTGTCCTTACCAGGTTTATAGGGTCTAATTATAGGGTTTAGGGTTTTAAAAAAAGGGTTTAGGGTTTAGGGTTTAGGGTGCGCAGCTTGAGTTCGGGTTGGTTGAGACCAGGAAATAAGGTCCGGCAAAAACAACTAGCATGTTTTTTAGTGTAGTTCGGCGGGGGAGTGCAAGCTGCTGACTGTTTCTGGGGCTTGGGCTACATGTAGTTGTCTTGCGGACCGAGTATTCCCGGCTGCAGTTCACTTGTCACTATCATGCCCGCCTGCGTTTTCTGAATGCCCAATCCCTATGGCGGTGAAGAGTTCCGGCAGGTCCTTACTGTAGGGGTTAGGGTTTAAGGGTTTAGGGTACACCCGCCGCGTCCTAAGATCCAAAAGTTTTCAGCGGCCTAAGCTTCCGGACTTGCTTGAACACAACCCCAAAGCCAGGCCATCGCTGGAAGCGGTGCCGGCTGGCGACGTGCTCGAAGGCCACGATGATAGGGTTCTGTTGGCCGGCGGGGCCCAGGTTATGCACTGATTGCATGTCATCAGGTGGATTGGAGGACGGCATGGCAATGGGATTATGGCGATCGGACATGGGATTTTTTCACGCACACCACAGCAGATCTGCAATGCTGTAAGTTGCTTATGTCGAGTGTGTGCTGCCTCTCTATGTCGGATGTCCTGGCCTGTCTCGATTCGAGCCTCCGGCTCTGAAGAGTCGCGCCACAGCAATCAACCTCAGGCAACACTCCTCCTTGGACCATCCCTTCGGGAGCAGTCCACGCCAATGAATTCAGCGAGCCAGCCTCGTCTCGACTTGCTCTCATCCGAAGACTCTGTCTCCAGGTCACTGAGCTCCGCTCAAGCGTGTCTCCAAGTCTCAATCCACTTGGAGATCTCTGCTCTGGTACACACCTCGCTCCAAAGCAAGTGATGTCGGCCGGAGATGTTACGATGACGCCAGATGTAAAGGACAGCGAAGCTGCCTGGTGGACGGGAGCATTGAGCCGGCGGGAGGCTCTTCAGCTCCGAAGTAATTCTTCAGCCTCTCTGCCAAATCTCCTTTCACCCCTGACGTAGGCTGACCTTGAATCCTCAATGCCTGTCGGAGGTGTTCAACCGTCATCAGCATGAGGAGATCTCTAGCCACTCGCAACCTTTCTCTCATATCAGCATCATCTTGGCGAACTTCCGTAGGCACATCCGAGAAAGCTGATAGACCATCGTGGGCGGTAGTAGGGGAACTCTGGCTAGCTGCTCGTCTCCGTAGGGTCACCGGCCGCGAACTCGGTGCTTCCATCACGATCGTCGGTGTCTCATCCAGATCAGCTGCTGTGGCCTGGATTGCAACTTCAGTTTGGGCCGCCCTCGAAACCAGATTCCTCACCTGCTCCAATTTCGATGCCTTCTTTGCACGCCGATGCTGTCGAAGTCCCCATCGATACACCAGTTTCGCACCCTCCCAGCAACCGATAATCGAAGCACATATCATCACGGTGATGCACATGAGCTCAAGATAGTGGATTGTCGGGATCGGCTCCTTCAAGTCCTCATCTTCCAACGAGCTTCCGGTGGCCGGTGTGAACAACGAGATCACTGTGAGGATCGCTGCTAGGATCTTCAGTTGGAGAGTGGCCAAGGTCTCTGCGATTCTGAACCCAACAAAACCCCAGAGCTCTAAGAGCTGGCGAAGGCGGACCTTTGTCATCATCTTGGTAGCCAGATCGGCCAACTGTTGGACTCCTGGGGTGTGACGAATCTCCAGCAATCCCAGCTCAGTGGCTTCTCGAAGATAATGTGCTCGGATCTTTAGGTGTCGCGTCCTTTGCGACCCCGGTCCACCTCGACACATCGCAGCCGCCGATGTGTTGTCTATAGCCAGCACGCGCTTGTAGACCCCTGGCGCCAACTCATCCAAAATGGCCGCAATCGAGTCCAGGAGGTTGCAGCCCTGGGTGGCGGCATAGAGCTCTGCCTCCATCACGCTCATAGTAATGAAGCTCTGCCTGCCAGCTTTCCAGGCTACAGGAACGCCGCATTGAACGATCACTGCCGCCCCGAAGCTCCTCGAACCATACGGGGCATAGCTTGCATCTGTGTAGCACACGAGCTCCTTGGGCTTGTCGAGCCTTGGTGCCATACGCAATCGCATCCCTGCTGTTGCTGCCAAATACGACATCAATCGTTTTCCAAGCCTTGCCACATGCAGAGGTCGACGTCCTACATGGGTCGCCATGTGGTTTACCACAAAAACGATATCTGGTCTCGTCTTCATGGCTAGCCAGGAGACCTCGCCAACATATCGTTGGTCCATGCGTAACTCCTCCTCGGAGAAATCCTCGGGCTCTGGTTCTTGAAGCTCCACCTGCTCCAGCCATTCACGAGGTACCGGAAGTTCTGTGTGCAACGCATCCTGGAGGTCATGGGCACGCAACAGCTCCATGATGTATGCTTGCTGGCTAATGCTGTAGCTGGCTCCCTCCTTTTTCACTTCCACTCCCAGATATCTGACGGCAGTGTTCTCGTTGATCCACTCCAAATCCGAAGTAGGCCACTCCTCTTTCACGAAGTTGTGCAGGCACTGGATCACCGGGGTGTTGCCGAAGTAGAACAAATCATCGACGTACGTCACAACAAGGCCGTGCAACCGCTTGGAGGAATCTCTCACCAGCCAAAGCTCCGATTCGGCTATCGTGGGGGTAAGGGTCAACTCCAGGGAACCAAACTTGATCTTCGCCGCCTTCAATCTGGCATTCCTGAAGTTGCTCCATATGGCTGGACTCTCTCTGAGTCCATATAGTGGGCGCACAATGACCCACGTCTCATCACCCGCAGCTCCTGCATCCCTCACTACCTTTGGCGGTCTCATCCCATATTTTGGCATGTCACCAGGCCATGTCGCGAGGAGAAAAGCTGTCACGATGTCAGCAGTGGCCCCATCCCAGTGATGCATCGCCGCAGTCACTAGAGCCACACGCAGAGCTTCCGTGCTAGCACCCGAGGCGTACAAGGACATGTTGGAGGGATCGACGTAGTTCCCGCAGATGACGGTCCGGCACTTCCGCCGGTACTTGCCCCCCTTTGATTTCGGAGGCTTGAGCGTGAAGACGCATTTGGCCGGGGCCATCTTCAGCTCCCCTGCTGATTCCATGTCCATTGCCTGCTGGTGGGAGACCTTGACGATGGTGCCAGAATTGAAGAGTGCCGTCACCTCCTCTTTGATGGCTTCCACCCATCGTGAGAGAACGCTCTTCACTTGTTCCAAAGGCACATTGTGGAGAACGTCCAAGTCCCCTTCCAGGTCCGCCAACAATTGCTCGTAATCCACTTCCGCCATCTCCTGATTGCCTGTGGCCATGCTAGCAATCCTCAAGCAATTCAACATGCGAACTCGTTCAATCTCCACAATCTGCTCATGGGTCTCCTCCAAGAATTTCGACACCGCATTTCTGGTATCGTTCAGCGTCTCCCTCGTAACGTCTCCACACCTGCGGTACTCTTCTGCAAGGATCTCTTCCTCTTCAAGCAAGTCTCTCAGTCTCGTTGCCCATTCGTCCAAATCCTTGAGCACCATCTCCAAGTCCTCATTGATTGAGTGCAGAGGGCGGAAATCGTTCGGTGATCCCAACCCCCTCGTCTTTGGCGCGCTAGACTGTGCCTTGGCGATCCTTGGTGGCGACGATGTGATGGGACGTAGTGGGAACCCCAGCTCATGAAGACGTTGTCGGTCCTCCTCCTTGATCTTTTCCACGCCTCGAGTGTGGTATCCGACAAGGACCAATCTATCTCCTCCTGACCAAGGAAGCGTAGAGTGTTTCACCTTGGGGTCGAACTGCACGGTCCCTTCATTCACTTTCAGCTGATAGGACTCCTCCCCAGCTGGCTCCATCAGCAAACCTCCTCCCTCAAACTTCGAAAGTGGAGTGATGATGTTCATGCCCAAATTGTGCACATCCTTGTGAGCCTTCGTCTGCATGTTGATAAACAGGGCCACCGCTGAGAAGGAGGCATCCGGTTGGAGTTGCTTCAAATACTTGGTGAGGACTCTCGTGGTGCAGGGGAAAGCAGATGACGATGACCGGACCCCCGCCACACCTCCATGGACGAAAGTGCCCGACGACCACCAGCCGCCATCTTCACCTGTTTCACCAAATCTCCTCGGGGCGTCGGTCTTCATTGGTAACAACCCCGCCAGTACTTCCACTTGATCCTTCTCCAGGAACTCCTCCTCAAGCAGCACCCTCGCATACTCTTCTGCGGGATGCCCGGGGTCCACTAGATGCTCAACATCCTCCTCCTGAGGTTCCTCCATCGTGTTTGGTTTTTGTTTGCCCACCACTCTTCTGACAGGCTCTGTGACGATGGCTTCAAACTCGGGCTTACCACCAAGCTTGTCTGAGTCTACGAGGTTCGGACGCAAGTGCTGGGACGTCAGGTAAGTGCCATCATCACAACGAACCACATGCCCGCCGCGAACATCCACACTAGGTCCCACATAGTAGCCTGGCTTCCACCTCGAGTTCAAATCGTACTTGCCACCAGTGCCGTAGACCTTGGATCTGAGGTGAACTCTGGAGCCGAAAGGAAGGAGGTCAGCGCCGCGTCCCATAGCTCTTTCCCTCTGCGCCCAGGCCGAATAGGTCATGGCAGCCGTCCAACACGACCGAGGAACAGGCGTCGAGAGGAGAAGTCGTTTCGCCTGATTTTTCATCCATTTGACTGCAGCTTCCGCTCTTCCGTTGCTCTGCGGTGACTGGCCTTCGGTATACGTAGCAATGGTTCCCCGTTGTAGTAGCCACCGCCTCAAAGCCGTACCCCTCAACTCCCGAGCTCGGTCAGCATGAACTCGAACAATCGGAAAACCTTCTGCACGCAGTTTGAGGTAGATCTCCTGCACGGCGGCGCCGATCTCGTTTGTCGTCCGAGTGCGCAACGGATGAGCCACATAGAGAACTTGAAACTCCGGGTTCCCGTCACCAACTTCCTCACCGAACAACTTCTTGAAGTCTTCATCTGACAATCCAACGGGTAGTTCTTCTTCTGGAAGTGGTGCAAGGTCCTCCTCCTCTTCCGCAAACATGTCGTCGAAGGAAATGGCACCCTGCTCCCCGACAAGGTCCTCCACACCCACGCCACCTATGACGCTCTTCCCTTCCATGACAGGATGGAAACGATGGCCCTCATCTACACCTTCTTCTTCCGCTGGATCCGGTGCTGGTGGTGGTTCTGGGTTTTCTTGGTCTTCTTTCTTCTTGAAGGACTCGAGCTTAGGAAAGAGATAAGCTCCCACCAGCATGTAGCGATAATCCCGGTGATCAGGATCTTCACCTCGTTGTCGTAGTGGTCCGAGAATGTCCAGCGATAGGCAGTACGAGCTCGGTGTCTTCACCTTCTTATGCATCCGTCCCAGCCCTGCATATCAAGGTTGGTAAGGACACCCGGAGTCAAGGTCTCCAAGCACATGGCATCCTTGTAGTTCGTGAAGATTTTCGCCACATTCGGTAAGCAGCCATCTTCATTCTTCGCGAGCTCACCCAGCAGCCTGTCTCCTTCCATCGCCAAGTACACCGGAAAACCCGTTCTCTTGATCCTCGCAGCCTTCGCAACCATCATCAGCCACATCTGCTTTGCTACCAACTCTTCGTCCTCCGTTCCTCGACAAGGGGGGGCGCCAACAACACCATCAAGTAAACCCTGTGCAGCGGACCAGAGGAGAGCTCGGTAAGTTCCGGCGGTTTTTCGAAGGTCATAGGCCTTGGAGATCTGGATATCCACCTCAAGCATTGGCCCGAGAGACTTCAAGTCCCCATGATTGCCTGCTCCAGCATAGAGATGCAATGTCCAAGGGGCAGCCAAAAGCGTTCGCCGCATTCTTCTTGATATCGGCATAGCCTTCACGTACTTAGCGCCAGCATCCACATTGAGAACCACCTCCTCAGCCAAGGCAGCTCGCACAGAAGCTGACAGCCCCTTGAACGGAGAATCCTCCGCCTCCATGGCCCGAAGTTGAGCAGTCCTTGACCCTGTATCCAAGAAGTCAAACAGATGCTGCGACCAGGATTGCTCCTTGTCCCAGCACCAAAGCAACTTCGCTGAAGATCTTGTAGCATCCACCAACTGATTCTTCTTCTCCTCTATGTCCCTGATCAGCTCCAGCGCCTGTCCTTCTGTCACCGTCGGGCAATTAGCGACCATGCGAGGACGAATTTCACCTCGCTGGGGGTGCTGTATCGTCATCCCATCTCTAGTCCATTCCAAGGTGCAGTCCAGGCTCTCGATGAGTTCACCGAGAGGGACTATGGGACTCGTCTGATCATTCGGGGATAAAAGGGTCCCCGTTGAGGTCTGCCGTAGCTCAACCTCCTTGCCGTCTGCCAATTGGACCTGCACTTTTGTGGCCGCTTGGAACTCTTCCTCTGACCCAATCCTGTACGCATGCGACGCTCCAGAATCCAACAAGCCTGTTCGACAAGCTGCTTCTCGCTCCACTGTGGCCAAAGTCAGGGTCTTGAGGTTCATCTGTGTCATCTGGCGCAACATCATATTGGCCTCTCTCAAAAGCGACTGAACGTCAGCCTGTGATTCAGTGCCCGACGATGATTGCCCAGATACTACCGACTCTGTACTTGGTGGAAGGGCATTCAGGGAAGCCGCCGATGTTGAAGCAGGAGGTTCGCCAGAGGTGCCAGATGAAGAAGTAGTTGTGGTCTTGGACGATGTCGCAGCCGTCGGTGTTGTCTTCGCTGGGCTCCTGGGGCGTGTAGGACACTCTTTCTGGACATGCTGCTTGCTTCCACAAGTGAAGCATCTGCCTTGCTTCTGCTTTCTGTCAGCATCATGGGAAAACTGACATGATCCTCCCTTCTTGCATCCATTGTCGGTAAGGAAGAATTTGCAAGGTGTGGACTTCTTCTTGTTGGGGTCGTTCGAAGGCAACGTTGGCCATTGGAGAGGGGGTAGATTCTGAGGGTGTCCCGGCCCCAATTGCTCTCAAGTTCGTAGCACCCTTAGACCTCCCCTTGAAGGCAACCTGCTCAAACTCAGACAGCAGCGCTTGGTGTAGCTCTTTGACCGTGGCAGTGCAAGGCTTCGTGTCCACTTCCAGGTTGTATCGGAGGATGCCGATGCGGAACGATATCTCACTGCTCTCCGTGATGGGCTTCCGAACCATCATGTCCAGGCCTTTCAGCAATACGCTGGAATCTGGGGGTTGTAGTCCCACATCTTCTGCCCTTCTCAGCCAACGAGACCATCGCCGTAGCGCTTCCACGGCCTCAAGGGGTGTGTTGGCGATTGTAGGACTCTCCAGAGCCTTCAACACCTGCTGTCGTTCTGCTGCTCCTCCTGGTCGATAAAGCACCATCACCCGAGCCAAAATCTGTAGCGTGCCGGAAAGTCTTGCCGCCATAACCTCGCCCCTCACCGACTCCGGAAGACTGGCAAGGATCATGGATGCCGCTCGCTTGTCTACCCGTGACCACTTGCTATCCCCAACCTCAGCGCAGGCAAACGTCTCCGGCCTCAAACTCAGCTTGTCTCTAGTGGAAGCTCGTAGATATGCCTGGTAATAGGCCTCGAGGGATGTGAGGATCGCGTGCCACCAAGAAGAAGAGGAGTTGGAGAGGTCTCCCATAGGGTTCATGAGGCTGTGAAGCCAGTCTCCCACATCTATGGCACTCGTATCCGATGCTTCGGCAAGGCGCGGGAGATCAACCAGACCTGGTTTCACCACCTCAGGTTCCGAAGTCCTCGCCGTCAAGTTCGCGGTCATCGCCGATTGTAGTTGTGCAATTCCCTGGGCAAGCAACCCGAAGGGATCAGAGGGGCCTTGCTGGCCTGTTGATGCCGACATCTTCGGTGGAGGTGGTGGCGCAGCGCTACCACTCAAGGTTCGGTGTTGTCCCGGTGCACGTAGAGCCTCCTGGGAAACTCCTGCCCCCCTTGACTGCCTTCCATGTCCAAGGCCAAGAGGATCACATGCAGAAGCCCCCGATTCAGGTCTTGTCGCTCCACGTTCATGCCCTTCTTGATGCACACCAAGATCACCTTCAAGTAGGTTGAATCGTACACTACCGGCCGCTGGATGCCTTGCTTGCTCTTCTGCACGTACACGTTGCTCACCAACTTCACCCTGAACAACTTCAGCGTGTCGTGGTAGTCCAGCAGGATTGCCTCCACCCATAAGCTCAGAGCCCACCCCACCACCTCGTGCAAGTCCGGGAGGCGTAGCGAGCGTGTGCTCAGGATCTCCTGGAGGTCCTACCAGATTGCCGCCACCATCAAGTTGATTCGTGTCCCGCACAGGAACTCCTGCTTCCAGCAGTTGCCGTAGTGAACCTCGAAGCCGATTGTTCTCTTCTTCCAAGGCCTCTTGGCGTCCTTTAGTCCTCTTGAGCTCCTCCTGGTGATCCCTCATAGCAGATTGAACTTGCCGCTGAACTTCTTGTAGGATCTGCTCCTGCGTCAAGGAACCACTTGATGACTCAATGTCACGAGGAGGAACAGGACCATGTAGGAGGGGTGCACGCCTATTCCAAGACTGCATCACCTGCTCAGCCTCTGGCGTGAACAAGCGCCCTGGATCTTGGGCCCAACTCGCTGGCGGGGAAAGGGTCGGAGTTTGCCTCGTCGTCCTCTCCAAGATAGCCCCCGCTTGAGTCACCCTGCGTTGGAGAAATTCTCCAAGGCGTGCAATCCATACTGGCCCATTGTTGGCACCCGCTGCCCGTGGTGACCCATCCAACAGCTCCTCCGGAGGAGAAAACCCCAGATGGTTAGTCTGAGAGCTCATTGTCACCTCAGCCACAGGCAGTGCAGCATACTGCTCCACGGTCGTCGTAGTGGTCATCTCTTGTACAGTTGCTGCCGGCGCCGTCACGATGCGTACGTCCGCATTCCTAGTATACGTGTGTCCCACGTTGGTCGCCGCGCCCGGTCCGGTGTCATCAGCTGTCGTAGCGTCCGAAACAGAAGCTGCAGTCTGCCCAGGGATACGTGCAGTGTCAACATCAGAGTCAGGGGGCACCACCGACCCATAGGTCGAAAAAACCCGCTGAGCCCGAGATCCAGCAACACCATTCATCAGTATCCCGCATGGGCCACCACCATCCATTCCAGTTGCAGCAGCTTCACCGCCGTAGTCGGGACCTCGATCTTCACCATCCAAAGCCAAGCCCTGAGCGCTTGGGCTCATAACCTGTTGGCCGGCGGGGCCCAGGTTATGCACTGATTGCATGTCATCAGGTGGATTGGAGGACGGCATGGCAATGGGATTATGGCGATCGGACATGGGATTTTTTCACGCACACCACAGCAGATCTGCAATGCTGTAAGTTGCTTATGTCGAGTGTGTGCTGCCTCTCTATGTCGGATGTCCTGGCCTGTCTCGATTCGAGCCTCCGGCTCTGAAGAGTCGCGCCACAGCAATCAACCTCAGGCAACAGGTTCTTAAGGGAGGGGGTTCAAGGGGGGTATGTAACAATGTAACCCAAGGTTCCCTGATACTCCCCCACTACTCCCTAAGGCTCCCTGAGCTTCCCTAACACTCCCTGGGTTACTGCATTGCTTGGTACGTCGTTTACGCACACTGTGGTGCAGAGTGTGTTCAGGTCTAACCGAGTCTAATGGGCCAGTCGACCTTTTCTAGCCCAGGATGGGTTCACATCTGCACAAAATCAACGGGAATTCTCAGATTAGTTCTAGAGGCCCGTAAACAGCTTCCTGACCTCCCTTCAAGGGCTCTGAAGTATGGGCCCCGGGGTTGTAGGCAAAATCGGGGTATATCAGGGGTCCCCTTCGAAGGGCCCGTAGTCTGGGACCATGTAACTACCCCAAGAGGAATCCCGAAGTTCCCCCCAAGCAAGCAGCGCAAGATCCCCGAGAGGCCTGATGCCAGTGATCGCTGCCATGGCAGCCGATACCACAGAAGGTGATGAGGCCCAGCGACAGACGATTTAGTATGTAGAAATGTACAATGTAAAGATATACAAGTAGAATAGATATCAACAAATGAATATCAACAAGAAAAATATAAATACAACATATATAACTATACATATAAATATAAATATAAATACAAATATAAAGATAAATATAGATATAAATATAAATATACATATACTTGCGATCATAATATAAATATAAGCATAAATATATGAATATAAATATAAATATATAAATATAAATACAAATATACAGTATATATATATATATGGAGTATATATATATATACACGTATGACTGTTATTATCCTCTTATTTATGCAACAGTTTCTGCAGGAGGTCGAGAGGCACAAAGCCGAGTTTCGACGGTGGGCCACTTGGACACTTAAGGCTTGCGAGGAAGCTCGGGGCGGGTGCCGAGGATTCCAGTACAAGCCGATGGTTGCTGGGTAATGCAGGGGCCTTAATAACTAGAAGAAGGTTTCAGGGATCATTGTAGCATAAGTATAAAGGGACCCGAAGGGAAGACTGTTAGTAATTCTTCCGACCCCTACAGTGTACCTTTACTAGCCGTAGTCCGTAGTCAAGAACCGGTATCCTCCCCTAAACCCTAAACCCTAAACCCTCAATCCTAAACCGTCCCATCCCCAATTCCCGAACGGGTAACAGTTGCGCTCGGCGGAGGTCTCCGACCTCGAGGAGCAACAGTGGCTCGGCCGGTCCTGGGCGCAGCTTAGGGTTTAGGGGTTATAGGGTTTAGGGTTTAGGGTTTTATTCCTGCTGAGCACTCTTTCTTGGGCTTGCCGGCCCTGAAGTGTTTAAGAGCTACATAGCTTGTCCCAGCGAGCTACAGCAACTATCCTGGGAGTTAGACAAGCCAGGAGGCAAACATGCGTGTATATAGGTACATGCATGCATGTGAGAATGTGTGTAGTGTATAGGTATATACAAGCACATGCTTTATTTATTGTCATAATGAGAATGAGTGTGTCTCTCTCACTCTGTCTCTTTCCCTTTCTCTTTATCTTTCTCTTTCTCTTTTTCTCTTTCCCTTTTTCTGTTTATATATGTATGATATGATTGCAAAGCGCCCGTAGCTTCAACCGACCCAGGCTCGAGGCGGATCGTGGGGCAGCGCTAGCCGCAGGCGCCGCTGCCGGGTGTTCGTAGTGGGCTGAAAATTCGTAAAAGGCTGGTACGACTTGGCGGTCGATGGGCACTTCTAGCCCCAACCATCAGTCTACTTGTAACCAATTTAGAGGACTTACGGAATAAAAAGTGCGGTTATTCTTTTGTGTTACAAGTACCCCGAACCTCCAAGTGTGGGTTTAGTATGGTTTTACATCAGCTGAATACGGTCTATCTACCTATCCAACAGCAGTTGACAAGCAACTACCCGAAGCTTGTAGGATGCACTGGTGCAGCTGCCAGACGAGACGAGTTCCTTAAACCCTAAGAAACTTCCTTAAACCCTAGTAGTAGAGTTCCTTAAGCCCGAATAGAGTTCCTTAAACCCTGGTAGACTTCCTCAGACCCTAATAGAGTTCCTTCAACCCTTGCAGAGTTCCTTAAACCCTAATAGAGTATGAGCGGCCTGCCACACAATAGCAGCACACTGACGAAAGGCAGGCTCTGGCTGTGCGTCCGCCTCGTGGATGAACCTCTGCTGATCTGTGGCTTCTGCTGTAAGCAAGTCTCCTGAACTGGGCGCTGTGTCTCTTTCCCTAAACCCTCAACCCTAAGCCCTTAACCCCAAACCCTAAACCCTGTAAACCCCATAAACCCCATAAACCCTCAACCCTCATGAAGGAATTCTTGGAGTGATTAAGGCTCCCTTGTCCAACTTTCCCGTGGCGGCCTGGGATGTCCACGAGGAGCTATCTTCCGGAGCCCAGGCCCTACCCTGCACATAGTGCGGGGCTTTGTTTAGGGGTCCGGAAGGAAAATAGGGTTTAGGGCGACTACTGTAAGCAATATGGGGTTAGCTGGTTGGTGGGCAGGCTCTTTGCCACGTGACTCGCCAACATCTCAATCCTCGTTACTGCCCCTTGCGTTCAGCTGCGAGCCTTGCAGGCAGATCAGAGTGGCCAGGACATCGAAGGACACAACATTGGTTTAGGGTTTAGGGTTTAGGGTTCAGGGTCTGGCTGTCTTGCGGGCAATATGGGCAAATGTTGCAATCTGGTTTCTTGAGAGACGGGTCTGAAGCTACAGTAACCCCATGGACTCCTGCTTGCTGAGGTATTCATTTACGCAGCGACAGTCTGCCAACAGGCTTTTTCTGTGCCTGCACGACATGTTATCGATCTGCTTGGGTGTTTTTTAGGTTTCGGCTTGGGGCGCTTGGATCTTCCAGGATTGCTTTCTCCGAGCCTTTGGCTCCAGTCCTTGGAGCAGATCGCACGTCACGGCAAAGAAGCGGGTGTGGCAGGGCAGCACTGAGAGGTTCACCTGGCTGGTTCTTAGCAGGGAAGGAGAGAATGAGGTACCCTATATAATCCCTGAAAGGGTACATATATATATATAGATGTATATATATATATATACGGCCCTCATTCCCTCATTCCCTACTAAGAACCAGGGGTTCACCCTCCGGAGCTCCGGACCTCCGGGCTTCTGCTTGGGGTGGCCATGGAGACGCGCAACCCTACTGCACCAGGTTGATTGCCCTTCCCCGCCACAATCAAAAGAAATGTACAGACATGAAGAAATATACAAGCCTTATAAACCCCTCAAACCCAAACTCAATTCAAAAAGGTAAACCCTAAGCTCTAAACCCTAAACCCTAAACCCTCAACTTGAAAGCGGTATAAAAAAAAAGAAACTCTTAAGGTGCCGCCCTGCCTCGCTGCCTTCGACCCAGTCTTCCTGCAGCCTGTGGTGCAGGCGGCCTTGGGGATGTTTTGCTTTAGGGTTTAGAGTTTAGAGTTTAGGGTTTAGGGTTTAGGGCTGTGGGGCACCCCTTTTTTTGCCGGGGGGGGGGGGGGGGGCATGTTGGCCTTTTCGGCGAGGCCACGTGCGCACACACAAACGCTCAAGCAAGCAAGCAGGCCGACGGACGGAACGAACGAACAACAAAGAGAGAGAGAGAGAGAGAGAGAGAGAAAGAAAAAGGTCTGTATAGTCCATATATATATATACAAACTTCATCATATCTATGTATATATGTATCTGAACTAGAATGCAGGGCTCATGCGAACTGCCTCCATCACCTTAGTAGCCGCGGTCGACTTGACTGTCCAGTTGCAAAGGCTTTGGAGACGCCTGGGCATCTCAGCGTGTGCCAGCAAGGCACCGCCCTACTGCCGTGGCTGGCAGATAGGCCGGGGGCACCGAATTGCACCGGAGATCGAACACGCCAGCTGATCGGCACTGTAGGTTGTAAAGCGCGAATTCTGTCAGTCCATGGACTTGGAGTTTGCAGGGTATGCGTGCTTCCTTTCTTGGCACACTTCACGCTGGGTGAGCTACGTGTCTCCAAGCCTCCATGAAGCAAACGGGGGGAGGCCAGCCAGGTGCTGAAGCTGCAAAGCTCGCATGAGAGCCTCCGAATGCAGTTTCTCGTTTCTTTTGAAACCAATGTGCCGAAACTATGGTGGACCTCAGTGGCAGGAAGCTGTAAAATTCAACATGTTAATTGCGCAGGGTCCCATCCCCTGAAGCAACAGCCCAGCCATGGAGTTGCTCCTTCAGCAGCTTGGCTCGATGCCGCTCGAGCACCTGGAGCGGATCATGCAGGAGATGCCGCCAGAGCTCCGTCAAATAGTTGGGGACCATTTTGGATTTTTAAGGGTACTTAAACCCTATAAGGAATAAACATGTAAATTTTTTAACACTATCCCAACCATGAATCAGGCATGAGGCAGATGGAGATGTCGCTAGCAAGCCCAAGCGCCTCGGCAGGGAGCGCGCGCGAGAGCTGAGAAGGAGGCGCCGGCCATCTACGTCCAAGTAGCAGCTCGCGATGCAGAAATGCATGTCCCAGAAGACTGGCTCTGCAAGAACAACAACTCGCAAGAATTGCCTGCTGACGAAGGCCCTGAAGCTGGTTTCTGAGCAAGAGTACGGCGCAGAAGACATCGATGGGTTGAGGCTGGTTCTCCTCACATGTGGCCGAAGGGTACCACGACCGAGACCCGTGAGGAGGCACATGGCCAGTTGCCATCACCACAGGGCGAAGCGGTCAAACGAGTTCGCGGGAAGGAGCGTCCCACAGCAAGTCTCAGCAGCTTGCTTGATGGGCTTCAATCCTGTGTGCTTCCTTTGCTGCGCCAGCACTCCGACTTCTTTCCCAAGGCGGAGAGGCTTGAGCTCAGCCACTCCTACGTTCGCGGCATAGTGAGTGTGAACATCCATGGAGGTAGCACAGCGAGGACCGGATGCTGGGTGGGGACACCAACTTCTACCCTGCAGTTTCAATGATCAATCATTCCAAAAACCCAAACGGCGTCTTGCTGCCTCTGTTCAAAGAGGGTGAGCTGGTTGGTCTGGCAGTCAGTCAGTGAATCGGCCGAGCCCCTCAGGCTGTGAAGTCGAAGTGGGGCATCGAGGATTGAAGAGGATCGGAGTCGGTTCTGAGGCATGGAAAAAGGATCAGTGAACCCCACCTGCTGCAAAGCCGAGAGCACATTTTTTTGCTTCTGCAGGGTGCTGCACAATTTGCACGACCTACTATGTAACCCTGTAGCACCATCCCACCCGTGTAAGGCTGCACAGCGTCAGTGTGCCCCCGTCTCTGTCTGCGCTGCGTGTGCGTGTTTGTTTTTTGCTTCTGTGTGTCAACTGTTCTGTCAAGATCCCGCGCGTCTCATGAAGCTGACAGCCTGCGAAAGGCTGGAGGCAGGGGCAGCGGACCTTGCTTCGACCGCGGCGCTGGCTTTGGAGCTGCTCGTGGCCAGTGAGGACTCCCGAACTGCCCGGATCTGCATGATGACGGAGAAGCTCCCAGAGACTTCAAGACCCAATGAAAGCCCAGCCCAACAATGCAACCTCTTTTTACAGACTTAACAGAGAAAAAAAAAGGCTTAGCTCCAAAGAAAACGCTTAAGCTTTGCTGTGGCAGGCTTGGCCAGCGATCGGCCTCACCCCCTCGGCCTGCAGTGAGTCCAGTGAGCTGAAGCCATGGGACAGGTGGCTCTCGGACTCTATGGGATTCAGAGGGTTGGGTGTGGGGTTTTTGTCCATCCGAAGTGGTCCCAGCCCTGAGCCCTTCAGTCCCCAAAAGCAGATGCACTGACTGCTCTCCATGGATTGCATAACCCAACCTTCATCAGCCTCAGCATATCCACAAATGTAAAATGTACTTGTTCCCAATGGCAGCAGTCGCACCATGGACTATAGTCTCTACAGTCTCAGCAGCCTCCCATCGCAGGCTTCAACTTGCAGCACACCTCCGCGGTGCGACACCTGGTGCAGCCCTGCCTGCCTCAGCGGCACTGGCACTGTGCCAGCTTTGCAGCCCGGCAGCCGAATGCAGCAGAGGCGTGCAATGGCGTGCCGAGACTCTGTTTCCTGCGCTCAAAGAGCTCGGACACCGAGGTTTGACCGAAGGCGATGCCTTAGCAGCCGAGCGTTGCGGCTTTTGGGCCAATGGCCTCGTGGCGAGCAGCTTGGGCTTTGCCTTTATTGTCGGCAGATACATCGTCCACGTGTGTCGGCATGGTTTTTTCCACAGGGCTGTTTTGCTGTGAGCGAGACCATGTAGCTTTTCCAGCAGCTGTCTGTCGACCGTTTCAGCCAAAGCTCCCACGGTAACGTTCGTTAACCCTCCTGTGCCTGGGGCTGGGCCGCAAGGTCTCCCTGGCTGGCGGGAAGTACTCTCCTTCGTGAAGAGCCTTGGCCCGGCAACGCCACTGCAGCCGGTGAGTGGCAAGGGCTGGCGCGAGGCACCGAGGAGGGAGAGGAGAGTGGAGAGGAGAACGGTTGCTGAAGATGTGACGATGTAGGGCGAGTTCTGTGTCAAGGAGGGCAGGTGGAGAGATCTGACAGAGTCACCAAGAGCACTTGCTGTCACGCGTGCTCTGGGGAAGAGTGCGCCTGACAGAGGCAGTCTGTATATAGCCTGTATAATTACGGAGTTATCCCTATAAACCCCAAGCGCTCAACTTGAGGGGAAGCTGGGTTTGACTTCTGCTCTGGTTGGCTGGAGAGCCGAGTGCTCGAAATCATCTCATGTGTGCTGAAGCCAGAGTGGCGAGAATGCTTGAATCTGTGAGAGAGTGTCGGATTCCTGCTGAGCGGTTCGTCCAGCTATGCGGATGCCCAAAACGACGCCTTAGCCTGTATGTAATCTGTATAATTAGGGAGGTATCCCTAAATCCTATAACCCTAAACCCCTAAAACCCCTAAAAACCCTACAAGCCCTGAACCTATCCGCTTCATGTGAGGCGGCCCTGGCTGCCCTGGCTGCGGACCGCTGCGGCCCACTCCAGGCGCTGATTGCCCAGGGCTTGGCGCCCAGTGGCGGCAATGTGGCCACGCCAGGAGACGGGGAGCTTGAGTCGAATATATACCGGACTCTGCACCATTCCCATTCTATTTCGTTTAATTCTCATGAACATTATGATCATTTTTTAGTGACATGCTTGTTATTCGTACTATTCTTCGTATTATGATTCTTAATTATGATTATTATTGTTGTTGTGATTATGATTATTATTGTTGTTATGAGTATTAGTATTATTATTGTGGTTTGTGTGATTCTGCTGCCTTCAGCTTAGCCTCCCGCACCGCAGGAGAAGTCTTCGACGTGGCCTTGACGGGCTTCCCGAAGGAAGGGGCCGCTATCTTTCCTTGGGCGAACGTTTGAAAGCAAGGGTTTTAGGGTTTAGGGTTTAGGGGTTAGGGCCGTTTAGGGGGTTTATTGGGCAGGTCAGATTCCCTGCGCTTGGTAGCCCAGTAGCCGCCATATTATAGTCACTTGAACGAAAAGACTTTGGCTTCTGCTCCTCCTACCTGAGCCCATGGCAGTGTTACCCAGCCTATGCTCAGATTAAACCCTAAACCCTAAACCCTAAACCCTAAGCCCTAAACCACAAGGATTCCAAGCTTCAGATGGCAGGTGTTGCCCTGGAACTTGGTGGACTGGATGTCCTGGACCTTTGAGCTGCCCGGCCTCAAACTCGCTGGGGTTTTGGGGGGTGCTTCTCGTGCCCCTTTCAAAAGGAGCCCAAATTCCTCCTTAAGGTCAACCTCCTCGCTGCGACATCGCCGGGCTCAGATCTCAGCAGCTTTTTCGGGCATGCCAGCGCACAGTTTGCACGGGCTCTACCTACCCTCCCCCTCGGCCCAGGATTCCCTAGTGCAAGAGCTGCTTCAGTACACGATGAAGCTGCTACCGACGTGCCCCTCGATCACAACTAAACTTCGTGGGGGGCGGGAGGGTAATTAGGGGTCGGTCGGACAAACTGAATCTGCCGCCTGTGGGATGGTTTCTCATCCCGTGCCTGTCTCTTGCTATTCTGAGGTCAAGTTGGGGCGTGTTGCCTCCCCCAGAATCCCGCTTCAGCCAGAATCGCCTTGAGGTGAGAGCAGACCCGGCTTCGCAGAACTCTTGAAGGCTTGGTCCCTGGCGCTTGTAGCCACTAAGCCACTAAGCCCTGCTGCAACTCTGGGACAGAACAGCTCAAGCGGCGATCTCCTGCGACATCCGCCCCCCTTGCCCTGTCAACATCCGAGCCCAGAAAACGTGTCTTTGAAGAGAACCTCATCCGCGGCTGGAGAGCAACTTGAGCACGAGCTTTTCTAAATCATAACCCGTTTTGGGTGTACCCGCAGAAAAAAGGGCTCCGCAGCAAAATAGGAGCCCCCTTCAATTCCCCAATTGTTTTTAAACAGGGTCCCGAACTTCAGAAAAAAGCAACGTCCCAGTTCTTTCGAATCTTTCGCAGGCCGTCCTTGCCCTTGCGCTGCACCGCCGCCCGTTTGAGATGCTTGTACCGGTGCCGCTTCGGGCACCTGGGCGAGGGAGTCATCCCAGGATGGGCTATTACACCCTTGAATCCCCTTGAAAGGCCCCCTGATAGGGAACAATATGAGGATATAAAGGCCCAATAGCCCATCCTGGTCATGCACTTCAAAAAGCTTGCTTCGCTTGTTTTTTGTTCCGGGGCTCATCTTTCAAATCATCTGTGGCTCCCAAGTTGAAGGCTGCGGCACTGTGACTTGAAAGAGAAAGGTGAGCCAAGATGACTAGAGGGGTTGCGGGTGTCTGTTTTTAGTGCCATTTGCAGCATACATATTTTCTAGCTGATGTGAACGTTGAATGGGACTTTTGGACCTCTTGGCGGTTTGTTGGACTCAAAGTTTTTGTTGGCAGATGTTCAGCATGCCAGAACGCTCTGAGGCCGGTCGCTGCCTGCTGGCGGATGCTTTGTTGCGCCGCTATGGCGCCCAGCACGCTCAGCTCTGCCAAGAGCTGTGCCGCCAGCTGTCGCTTGCCCAACTCATTGGGTTTAGGGTTTATAGGGTTTAGGGCAAATCGGACAAACACGGTCTGAAACCAGTGCTGTTGTGAGAAGCTCGAGGCACGTGAGAGAGCCCTCGTTGAAAAAGGGTTTATGGTTTAGGGTATCTTAGTAGCTTGCCAGAATGGAATGCCAAATGCTGCTTCATGGTCAGGCGGTACCCTTTGGGAGTCATGCTGCTGCTCGCGGACGCGGCGCTGTTCAAGGAACCTGCCAAAGATGCCCTGGAGCAAATCCGCGACCTTCTCGCCCGCAGCAGCCGCTTGACCTGACTGGGCACGGTGCCGCCTTTGTTGCGTGGTTTGGCATGGAGCTCAGGACCAAGACCCGCACAACAGCAGGACAGTGTTCAAGGGGATGGCCCATTTCGAACAGAATAGAACTTGGGATGTTCCCCCTTGTACTAACAGTCCTGAATAGGGATGAGTACCCCCCAGTATATCCCTAGTTTAAGGATTGTTAGTATAACGGAGACCATCTCAAAATAGAACTCAAGAAAACAAAATGTTGTTTAGAAGCGTTTCTCGCGCAGGACTTGCCAGATGCAGACTTTCAGGAGGCCCCGGGAATGCACAGACAGGTTCTGGGAACAGTTTTTGTCGTCGCTGTGGGGTGTTTTGGGCCGGGTTTACATGTAGGGCGGTCCATTGTGCTTAGGTACGTTTTGTTGGGGTGTGCAGGGGTGTTTTGGTGTGAAGGCTTATTGGGGGATCTGGGAGAGACGGGGTCTGGTACCTGGTTCTTGTGCGCAGTACACATTCTGAGGCGAACGGCTTCACATTCTGGTGCCGAAGTGCACAGATGGTTGCTAGAACCCCTTGCTCCCCCTCCCTGGACCCTTCACGTCTTCATTTGCTTTGAAAAATCCGACCAAAAGCCCCGAATCCCCCAAACTCCGGGCATGGCTCGAGGTGGTGGCTGCAGTGCTGTGTGCCGCAGCCCCACGGACTCCCAAAGAAGCCCAGGAGCCGGCAACCCCAGAGCCTGGATTATTATTAGTACTAGCATTGTATTTAGGATTCGTTTTTTTTTTTGGCTTGATGGTGTGTCGGGAACTTATGGGGATCGCAGCTTTCAAGTGGCCCCTGCTGTCGGGCCTCAAATAGGCTGGCCACGGAAGCGCACGCGTGCCATGAAGTCATGCAGAAATTTCTGCACTTGCCATTGGCTTTGTGTGTACAGTAGCCGGGACTGCCCAGGAAAGAATGCCGCCGCCAACGTGCGCCATTTGCGATACCAAAGGCTGCGCTTGCCCGGTGCAGATTGGCCGAGGCCAGTGGCGAGCTGTCATTGATGATATGTGTGCCGCATGCCCTCATGCCAACTGTCGCCTCTGGCACTGGTTGTACATGATCGTGTGCAGACGCACGAACCTGAAAAATCAACCTCCGCAAGGAATTCGATGCGTCAGCTAGACGGATATGTGCATATGCTATCACGGTGTTTACTACGCTAGCAGCCTAATTATGACAAAAAAGATTCATAGTGCCAGCAGGCTTCCAGGCCTATGACTTTTCTCTACTGAAGGCAGCGCTCGGCCTAGAATACGAAGCGACGGGCGCATCAACGCATGGTACGATGTGGCCACGGCACTGTTGCTTGTTTGCATAGACCATATATGGGTGGCTCTCTCAATTACAAGGGTTCCTTTAGGATCCCTATAGAATGCGGTACCATCAGAAGAGGGACCTCGAAAAGGGCTCTCAACCAAGGCTCGTATGAAGGTTTCTATTTCAGTACATTCCTTCGGCAGAGACCATACCCACCCATTCACTTGGCTGCTGAGGCAGCTGCTGTGTCAGCGCCATGGCGGGTCGGACGATGATGGTCGCTGGCAGTTTGAAGCTCGCCAGACAAGACCGCATGCCAGGTGCTGCATGGATGGGCTTTCTTAATGATGCAAGTTTCTGAATCTAGTTGTGCTGTTGTAGTTCGAGCAGCACTTTGCCCACGAGGTCCTGAAGGCGGCACGCAGCGCACCTCCCGGACTCCTTGCCGCTGTCGCGGCGCTGTCACCTGGGCTTCGCGAAACAGAAGCTACCTGGCGGGAAGTCGGGATGATTTCGCCGTTTGAGGGCCTCAAACTGTTGGAACTGGAATGCAACTCTATGACTCTTCAGCACCTGCCCCCACTCTACAGCACTACAGGCATGCTTGCGCAGCATCGAAGAAGAGAAAGAAGACATGGCTTCTACAGGACGGGGACTTTCCAGTGACACGTGACCTCTTTGCAGCCCTTTCTACACTTCTGGGTTGCGCGTTGGGCTCATGTTTAATTTGGCCTGGATTTCCCCTTCCTTCCTTTTAAGGGAACCTATTCTCAAATAAGTTTTCAAAGGGTCTCAAGCAGACTTGGAAAAACCCTGCGCGTCGACCGCCTCGCCAGCCGAGAGACCCCAATGATCGCAGAGTGCCGAGGCCTGATGTCCTCCATGCCCAGGTCTCCTCATTTAGGGTTTATGGCTGGGGTTTATAGGGTTTATAGGGTTTGTAGGGTTTGCAGGGTTTGTAGGGTTTATGGGGTTTTTAGGGATGCGTGTCCCTCTTGTGCTCAAGGGCATGCCAACTCGACGGGGAGGAAGACTTCATCCCAAGCTTTGGTTGCCTTTTCTGTTCTGCCGGGTTGAGGGTTTAGGGTTTAGGGTTTAAAGCTCTCGCAGGTTTGTGTGGGAACCTCAGGTCGCCCAGAGGCGAGGCGAAGAGAGATGCTTTGAGGTCTCAATGTTGGCACCTCCCGAGCACAAGACTGTATCCCCCTTGCGAATTAGTTCTTTGTTTATATAGAACCCAAGAGGATATTAAAAACCAGACATTTTTCAAGGTTCTGCGGGGAGTATAGAAGATCTCAAGCAGCTGCACCGACTTATCTGCGCTGGGACATTGGGACCCCGAATATAGATCACACGTCGTGATATAGATCTCCAAGTAGTAGTCTCCCCTGAAAACAAGGACCCCAAATAAGGAACCCTGATTTCGGAACCCCCCCCCCCCCCCATATGGCATCTGACTCAAAGTTAAACCCTAAACCCTCAACCTTAAACCCTAAACCCTAAACCTGGGACACCACAGCCGAGCACGGACTGCGCTTGTCAGGATTGCTGGCTGACGGCACCTCTGCTGCCGCCTCAGTGGAAGCACAGTGGCAGACGGCCTCTGCTGGGCGTTGGCTGCAGCTGGTTCCGCACCAGAGGTGCTCTTAGAGAGCCTGAGAGCCTCCATATCTGCAAATGCACATGCAAGCAAAGGATCTTGCTTGTAGTAGGCACCTACTAAGCTGCGGAAAGGGACGGAGAAGTCGCTGTGGCTATCTGTGGCTAGAAGTCTAGCAGCTTCAAGAGCACAATCCCATCTTGCCAAAGAAAGTCGTTCGAGAGATGCGTCTGTTTGGCTTTGCCAGTTCGCTGCCACCGCGCCCTCGACCGTCCCCACCACCACGAAAGCAGCCAGATGTGCCAGACGGCTTCCGAAGTGCTGGACTCCAAGTGCACTAGTCCCCCTCCCAATATTAAATACCCCTGTTATAGTTACATTAGAGGAAAAGGCAGTTATATTAGAGGAAAGGGGGGGTGGGACCGGGTGGGGTAGTTATTATTACAGGGCGAAGTATGGTGGACATGAGATCTCATCTGATCACTTCTCTAACAAAACCCTAAACCCTAAACCCTCAACCCTAAACCCTAAACCCTAAACCCTTTGGCACAAACATCAGTTGCAGGACCCGGGGAGCAGCTCTGGATCTCCGAGGCTGGGGGAGATCATTGCCCTGAATCTGGGTGTAGGGTTTAGGGTGTATATGGTATAGGGTTCATAGGGTTTATTTTAGGGCTTTAGGGTTTATAGGGTTTATCATACAGGGTGAATTGGGGTTATAGGGTTTCTAGGGGTTTATAGGATTTACAGGGATTATCAGGTTTGTAGGGTGTAGGGTTGTGGGCCCATGCTGGAGCCTGGGTCTCAAGAGCTTGCGCTTCCACTTCGAGGACGGCCGTCAGGCTCGACATTTGGATGACACGGGTGAGGAGCCACCCAGCTGCATGGAGGACCATGATCCCAAAACCCTAAAAAAACCCTAAACCCTAAACGCTAAACCGGACTCAATGTGTGCAGCTGGCAGAGGCGCGGCAGTTCCGAAATTCGAGGTGGAAGGGTTTTCCAGAACTCCTGAACCCCAACATCGCTACACAAAGGATGCATGGCGTGCTGATTGGAACTCGGCCGCTGGTGCTGGGCCGAGCCGGGGTGTACTTCGAGGCTGACCTTGAGGGACTTGGGGGGGTCGACGATTCAGAGCCTGCCACATCATGATACTCATTACAGAGTTGAGAGGTGTTTATGTCTGTGGGGGTTGACATGGGCAGCTGCGTGACGTAAAAGAACAGAATACCAAGGCCCTCATAGTAGCAAAAGCCAGCACGGGGACCCTTGAAGCAGGTGGGGGTTTGCGACAATATAGGGGACCCCTAAAAGAGACCCGCAAAGATGCCCCTACGTAAACCTCCAGGTGGCCTTAGAGGAGGTGCGGCCGGGCGAAAGTCTCGACGGGCTCACGGTGGGTGTCACCACGACGCACCCGGAAGATGTGACCAATGTGCCGGCTACCGCGGAGCACATCTCAGAGACGTCCCTTGCGCTGCACCTTGAGATGCGCCAGACATGTTAGTGGTTCCGACACCCGGTATGAAAGGCTCGGGGCTCAAGTTGCAGAATCTGCTGGTAGTTACACTGGCATGTTCAGCTGCCAGGTGTAGTTGTGTGGTAGAGACTTCCTGCAGCAATCTATATGAGTCGCTACTTGGCTCTTCAAGCGGGATCCGGCGATTCTTACCATGTCTCTTGCGTAGTTCTTGATGTCACCCGCCAGGACGGTCCAAGGCCTCGTACCGCACAGCAAACTCCCCAAGAAACCGCATCCGGCACGTGAGGTGGAGCGTGGGCTATGATGGGCAGATGTGGGACTGCAAGAGTGCCGCCCTCGCGTCAGATTTTTTCACTCGAACCCAAAGAACAAGATGCTGTCCGGACTCGGACCCCAAAAACTCTATACCTCAAGCAGTTGGCCCAAGAGAGCGGGATTTGCAAACACATGCTTAAGGCATGCGTCGTGCTTCTCAACTTGCAAGAATGAAAGTTCCAGCTTCGCACAAGTATGATCTATAGCACCTCTTCACGATCCGCCCCATCGTCTCAGGAGCCATCCGAAGTGCAATTTTGCTCTTCCCCGTGCGCCGTCGCCATGTATCCTGTGGAGGGGCGAGCGGTGCACTCTGTACCAGGCTCATCGAAGCTGGTGACACCAAACGAGCCGCCTGTGGGACCAGTCTTCCGGCCGCAGTCCACACCGGCATGGGTCAACACGCCTTCACCAACACGAAAGGAAGAGAAGAACTCCGAAGTGGAAGCTGAGCGCCTGTGGTGGTCGGATGCTTGCGAACGGCAGGCAAAGGAGCTGCAGAGCGCTTTCAGCACGGAGTTTAGCCGTCTGGCAGACCGCCTGACCCGGGACATCGCGGGCTGTGAGCAGAAGTTGGAGCAGCTCGTGGCCAACGAAAGCAACCAAAGGGCCCACGCGCTGGCAGAGATCAGGCGTGAGGCCGACAGCCAGGGCACCGAGCTGTCAGAACTCATCCGGTCGCAGCAAGATTTCAAAGACCAGCTGAGCTCCTTGCAGGCCTCGCTATGGCTCCGCCCCGGCGCCGAGGCAGATTTCGAGCAGCTTCAGAAGGAGGTGCAGGAGACCCGACACCTCCTCCAGACGCAGCCGAGGCCTGTCGCAGAGGTGCCTGCGGATGCCACTCCCCAAAACATGAAGGTTCAGCAGTTGGAAGCAACTCTCATCGATCTCCGCCGTGACATGGTTGGATGTGTCGATTCGCAGGAGCAGGTGGAGAAGCTGCTTCAATCCCTGCAGAGGGACTGCACGGAGATGCAGGAGAAGGTTCGCCTCCAGAGCCAGGCGAGCGAGGAACAGCGTTCCCTCCACCAGGTCATCTCGCAAAGCGCCGGGGATCTTGGCCGTGGCATCGAGGAGGTGTCCACCGCGATGCTGCAAGCAGAGAGCAACCTTCGCCAGGAAATCCAGAAGGCCGATCGCGAGCTGCGAGCCGAGCTTGTGGAGGAGGTGGAGACCCGCTTCAAGCAGCTTGCCCAGAGCCTAACGGACGAACGTGATTCACGGCTTCGCGAGTCCGGCATTCTCAAGACACGCGTGGACTCTGCGTGCAACAGGCTGGAGCAGCTGGAGCCAAGTAGCACAACGCAGGAGATGAGTGAAATCAAGATGTCCTTGCAGGAAACGAAGAACGATCTCACGGAGCTGCAGTCCGCGCTAGGGCTGCTGGCCGCGGAGTGCAGGAGGACGGCCGCCGGTTCGCCCACGGCAGCAAATCAGGACAGCGAAATTCAGCAGGTCTCCGATGCGGCCCTCCGGCTGCGTGTGGAGGCCTTGGAGGCACAAGCAGACAGCCAGGTGCCACGCTCACTGCAGCTTGAGTCGCAGGTGAAGGACCTCCGCGGTGCGATGTCGCCCATGGGCAATCGCGTTCAGGCTTTGGAAGCAGAGCTGCGCAAGTGGGACCGGGACACCACCACAGCACGCCTCAACGCAGCAGAGGCGGAGATCACGCGACTTGGCCGAGACAACAACTTCATGGAAGGTCTGAGGGCGGATGTGGAGGTGTTGAAGCGCAAGCTCGTCCGCGAACCGACGGCCGCAGAGCGGCTACCGCGGCTCGTAGGCCGTCAGCTGATTCCCGAGGAACTACGGCAAAGAGTTGCTGTCCTGGAAAAAAATGTCCATGACACCGTGGCCCAGACTTTGCCCGGTGACATTGAGGGGACAGTGCGTTCCGACAGCGCATCGGCTCCGTCTGCTGGGGCGAGGTCTGGGGAGGCGGAGATGGAGCAGTTGGCCCAGCTCCTGCAGGGCGAGGACGAGTTGGCAGGGAACCATCAGCTCATTGCCGCCATCCAGGCCCTTCGGGAGAAGAACTCGGCGCTGCGCGAGAACAACGCGGAGCTCGCGCAAGAGGTGCTGGTGCACGACGTGCAGCATGTTCAGCTTCCCCGCGCCACCTGGCAGCCGGGAGAGCCACTTCAGGGGCTTCAGGGGCTACAGGGGCTACAGACCTACAGATCGGCCATGGGCGATCCTGCGAATCCTGTGGCAGTGGTCCAAGGAGGCACCGTTCAGGTTCCTCCAAATCAACCCGGTGGCGGCTCCGTTCTGATGATGCCCGGAGGCACAATGCCGGCTGCAGGTATGCCGATTTCCGGTTCGGTCCTCATTGGCCGTGGCTCTGTCCAGGTCGGTCCCGGTGGCGCTCCACGCACAAACTCACCACGGAGGGAGAAGTCCAAAGAACAGACAGGCAATGTGGTGCGATCCGTGACGCCCCTGGCGCGCTTTAAAGAGCAAGCGCAGCATGTGCGGGGGGCTTCGCCCGAGCGAGCCAGAGTCGTCGTGACGGGCGTGCCACCAGGTGCGGTGCCTATGCAACAGCCAATGTCTGGCTGGCTGCCAAAGCACGGCTAGCATCATGTTCAATGTTTCATGGCGGCCAAGATGGCTGCCCTTTGATGTGATCTGGAGGGGGGATGCCTTTCTGCCGGCGTGGAGAGTGGAGAGGTCGTGAAGTCACTCACTCTGGTGACAAGGGGAAATGCCGTTCTGTAAGCCCTTGTGACTCATCTTTGTTTTTTGGCATCCCTCCAGCATGCAACAGTTTGAAACTTTCTCGAAAAGGCCCTGCCAGAGATGACGTATCATTTTCCAGCGCTTCAGATTCATAAGCCATAAGCATTCAGTGCAACATTGGCGTATACAGCTGGAGGTGCCTATGGGCCAACCTCCCAAATCTGAGCTCTAGACAAGCCATGTCCTGAAGCGCTGGCGAAGAATTTGCACTTTCGATCTGTGTGCAGAGCTCTCGTAGTTGCACGACACCTCGGCCCAGCACAGCTCTTGAGGTATGCGAGGTTCAGGCTTTACAGCCGCAGACTCCCCGACCCCATTGGAGCACTATAGACCTCTCAGAAGTACACTTCACTCCCGCTGCAACCTCGAGCTGAGCGCGCTGCTGGCGCGCGTACTTCCTGCACGACTTATGGCCACCTGAGGCACATGCCGTAAGATGCATGTGAAATTAAGCAAGTGCCCAATACAGCCACAACACAAAAGCCCAAAACGCTTCCCTGTCTTGAGCGGTGTCTTGCGCGAAGCTTGAGGCACTAGAAGTCAGGTTCGGAGGCTGATGCGGGGGTGTGAAGCTCAGGGCCATAAAGTCCCGAAAGGCATCACACATGCGCGCCTCTCTTCTCAGGTGCCAGCCTCACGCAGGTGGGTTGGGATCCGCGATCGCTGATGGAAGGCGCACATGTGGATCGCTCCAGGGTCCAGTTCACAAGAGCATATATATATATATGTGTATATATGTACATATATATATATACACATATGGATCTACTAATTAGTAAGTGTTTTTCACAGTTACATATTATCTTATATATAGTTATGATTGTCATGTTGTATCTTAGTATGAGGGTATAGTTATATGGCTGTTGCCCAAGAGTCAAGTGAGGGTATGTAAGTGGCTCCGGGCATCTTTGCCAACACAGGGTTTGTAGGCCTAAACCCTAAACCCTAAACCCTAAACCCTAAACCCTGCGACAAGTCTCTGGTGTGAAGAAGGACTCCAAGGGGAGCGGACAGAATCTGAATCTTACGTGCTTTGATGCATCACAATATATTAGGGTCCCTGTTTGGGTACCCGAAAGAATAGTTAATAGGGGTCACCTTTCATAACAAAAGGGACCATTCTTTTCGACAAGTGACCGGATGTGTATATATTTATCTTATACTGCTAAACGTAAACAGATACGTGCGCGCAGAAGCCAGTAGGACATTGCATATAAGCACCAAAACATGCATACATGTAAAGTGGAGAAAGATAAGAATGATAATGCCTATTTATATATGTATATATGCATGTGTTTACTCACGTGTATCGATAGGATGACGGAGGGTTTTTTTGCTGTAAGCACAGGGCATCAGGAAGAGTCCGGCAGAATGCGGTTCCTCTACTTCTCAGGATGGGCTACATAGGCCTGAGAATCCCCAGAATAAAGCCCGATGTCAGGGCCTTTTTGAGGGGTGGTAGGGTTAATTGGCTCAGGCCCTGAAGGAGAGATGCCTGGGCTCAAAAAGGGCCCTTTGGCCTGTGAAGGGGCTTCTATAGGGTATGACAGTTCTGCTTCTACCTGTTTAGGGTTTAGGGTTTAGGGTTTAGGGTTTAGGGTTTAGGGAAATCCTTTTTACGGGGTGTAGGGTTAAGGATTTAGGGTGTATGGCCCTTCAGGGGTTATAGGGTATGACAGCCCACCCTGCTTCTTCCTGAGGCGACATCATCGGCGTGCTCGTTACTGCTAAGGAAGGCGAACTCATTGTCTTTCGGAATGGTGCCGCCGACCAGAAGTTGATTAACCTTGGGGCACATGAACCCTAATTTTGGGACATATATCCAACACGACCATAATCCCTATTCGGCTATATGATCCAGAAACCACTTTAGGAGGGAGTTGATTGAAAGAGCAAGACATATCAAGACCTTCCGTCCTGCAGCAGCCTCAGGTGCGCCAATGACTTCCTCTAGCTGAGACAGCTGAGTTCGTCTTGACATTCTTAAGACTCCCTAGACCCTAAACCCCAATCCCTAAAACTCTAAAACCCTTGCGTGCGTCTGCTAGCGTGAGAGTCGAAAACCGAAAAGCCTAAAACCCTAAGACCCTAAGACCGTAAAACCCTAAAACCCTCAAACCCTAAAACCCTCAAACCCTAAAACCCTCGAACCCTCAAACCCTCAAGCCCTAAAACGCTGCTCGTTGCCTCGCCCGTGCATGCCAGTGTGAGAGTCGACAACCCTAATAAAGCCTAAAATCCTAAACCCCCCTAAAACCCTTAATCCTAAACCCCCTAAAACCCTTAAATCCTAAACCCCCTAAAAGCCTTAAATCCGTTTTGCCATGCTCAGGTACTGCCGTCTGCGCAGGACCCCGATCCATCCCTCGAGATGTTGAGCTCTACGCCGTCGTTGACTTGTGGCTTGACCCATAATTTAAATGGGCATTTCCCAGCAGGGGGGGGGGTTTAGGGTTTAGCGTTTAGGGTTTGGGTACCCCTTCAATACCCCGAATAGAATCCCCCAAAAACGACCGCCGTTTAAATGGGAGTTTTTTTGGGAACATAAGGGACCCCCTAATAGTTATAGACCCCCAAGTAGTATAGGATTCCCCTGTTATACTGAGTATTCCGCTTAAAAGGGTCCCCCCCCCCCCCCCATTTTCGGAAACCCCCAGATGTCTAGGCCCTTGGCATATGTTTTATATGTTCCATGCTTGGGTTCAGGAGGATCATACCCTAAACCCTAAACCCTAAACCCTAGATGGCCCTGGAACCGAAGCATAAGACTTGGGCATTGGATGCATTTTGGACCTCTTAAGGCTGTGATTCTGCAGATCTCGAGCTCCTCAAAACAAAAGTTATTTTAGCAAACTTTAGACACTTGCTAATAGCAATTACCAACACACACATGAGCTCCTCTTAGGCTCGGCGCTGCCCGGGCTGTGCGCTGGGTCTGCGACGCGTCGCCGCCGGGCCAGTGAAGTTTCCGGCTTCTTCAGCGTTCCTGAGCGAGACATTCATCAATGAGCTGCTACGCAGTCCCTACGGTGCTGAGCTGAAACTTGTCGGAACTCCACAGAATATAGGCGTACGGGCACTGCATGGAGGAGGCCAGACATCAGACATCGCTCCACAACTCGGTCTATTAAGTGGCGAAGTGTCGCGGCGGTGAGCATGAAGCTTCTGGAATCTTCTGGAGCAGCCGGAGTTTGCAAGGTTGAACTTTGGTCTTCCGAAGCTCCGCAGTCGCAAAGCTTGTGGATCGGGACACTGGCATGTCTATGGACTGCTGGTGAGAAGCCATGTGAGAGCTCTGGGAGATTCTTGGAGGGCGACCGTGATACACCCCCAAGTCGTCGAAGGCTGAAAGTGGCATAGGCAGGGGAGCGCCAGGATTCTGATCCCAGTCCTGCAGTGGAGGCGACAAGTGAGGCTTGAGATTGAAGTACCTGTCGATATGTACAATGTAGGCGGAAAGATCTGGACCTGACCTGGAAATTTTGCAAGCGAGACATAGCTGCACAGGTTGCGATGCGAGATGTTTGCTTCAAAAAGAGGCCCTGACTTTGCGGGCAGGTCTTGGGGCTGAGTTGTCTCCAACAAACCCTAAACCCTAAACCCTAAACTAAACCCTAAACCCTAAACCCTAAACCCAAAACCGTGGTCTCTTCCGCTCAGGCGCCGAGTGCCGCTGGGCTTTTCCAACTGCCGGAAGGCTGCGGCCTTGAGGAAGGATCTACCAAGATGGGCTACGTAGGGCATATCTAATAATCCGCATAGGCAACCCGATAAGAGGGCCTTTCTAAGGGGTCAATGGCCCCTCCTGGCATGTGGACTCTCTTGGGGGCCATTCGCCCCCATTGAATGGCAACAATAAGCCTCTCACAGCCCCCAGTCGTGTGCTCCTTCGAGGCTACGGCGTACGCGGCTGGCCGATGCCGGCCATGGGCCTACAAATCCAGAGGGTTTAGGGTTTAGGGTTTAGGGTTTCTGGTTTAGGGTTTAGGGTTTAAGGAGGTACGCTCATGGGCGCCGCTGGCGTTCAACTTTCAACAACCACTGGGCCATAGATGGAGGCTAAATATCAAGAAGAGTTGCTTCAGGCAGCTTTTTGCCCAGGACTGTAGATGCTGGGTATTGGGACGCTGCCTTTAGAAGCTCCCCTTCGCACACAACTCCGCTTAAGGCGGGAGAGCACTTCCTCATGGATGGGATCTGAGAGCCTCAAGGGCCTTAAACGCAATAAGGTGATGGGCAATTCGAGCGAATGTCGGAGCAAATTCCTGCCCTGTTCCCTACTGGAGTCCTAGGTGGCGGTCGTTGATGGCGAGTTCTTGAAGGCATGGCGGTGTTTCGCACGGCCATGACAGAAAACACGTGGGTATGTCCCAAACAGGGGTATATACCCCATCTAGAAACGAATCCCCTTAAAGGGACCTCCCAAAAAGGGCGCCCCTATTTTCGGGAAACCCCACATGTCTCTGCGACAGGAGCCTCCGCTTCTGGCGCTCGCGAACGGCGTTGCGAGCCATTTGGCCCCTCGCAGCTGAAGATTCGCCCAAAGCATCCCACAGCCCTTCCTGCACACCTCTCTCATCCGGCTGTTTAGGGTTTAGGGCCTTTCGGGTTTAGGGTTTAGGAGGGTTTGGGGTTCCGGGAAGTTGGGACGAAGTTCGGGGTGTGGCATGCTGAGTTCCATGGTCTCTGCGCCTGCTCGCGGCACATGCGGCGCAAGCTCAGGAAATCATCGTGGGAGGCAACAAGCAGGAGAACGGCTGCTCACTTGCACTCAGGTCTGAGTAGGGGAACCTAACACTTCAGCCTGTGCATCGTAGAATCCCTGTGTTTGATCAGTAGATGCCAGTTCGCTACCTGGTGCTGTGAGGTTTCCGGGCCTTCTCCGAGCAGGACGGGGAGAAAGAAAGGGTGCGGTGCCGCAAACCCTAAACCCCAAACCTTAGACCCTAAACCCTAAACCCCAAACCTTAGACCCTAAACCCTAAACCCCAAACCCTATAGACCCTAAACCCTAAATCGTTTGCCTCCAGGAGCCAAAGAGGCCCTGCGACGGCAGCTGCAGCCTCAGATAAGCAAAAGAGAAACGAAGACGAGCCGCTGGAACACCAGGAAGAGTGTCCGTGTGTCTGTCACACACACGCACGCACTCTCCCCGTGTGTGTGTGTGTGTGTGTGTGAGTGTGTGTGGGTGTGTGTATGTGTGTCTCTCTCTCTCACTCACTCACTCACTCTCTCTCTCTGTCCCTCTGTGTCTCTGTGTGTGTGTGTGTGTGTCTCTCTCTCTGTGTGCGTGTGTGCGCGAGCCACGCCGATGCCCTAGATGCGAGACCGTGCGAATGCACGGCTCAAACACAGGTTTCAAGCTCGCCTCCGATTCCCAGACTTCGACCTACGGTAGTTCCAGGTCGGTGCCATGCCGAACCTTGTGGAGCCGGATACCCAATTCCGCGATCACTTCGTTGACTTCCGCGTAGCAAAGACCGTGAACACCATACCCTATGACGAGGCGATCCCCCAAAAGCCAGCCAAAGAGACGCCGCTGGGCAACCACAGCAGCAAAAAGGTGACTGTCGTGGGAATGGGTCAAGTCGGTTTGGGCTGCGTCGTTGCCATACTGAACCAGGACATATGCGGGACACTGGCGCTGGTTGACATCGCTGCAAAGAAGCTGGAGGGCGAGGCGAAGGACTTCCAGCAAGGAAGTGCCTTCCACCAGCACACTACAATTCTGGCTTCGGACACCTATGATGTGAGTGAGAATTCGGACATGGTCGTTATCACGGCCGGTGTCGCCCAGCAGCCAGGCGAGTCGCGGTTGAGTTTGGTGGACCGCAACGCCAATATCATGAAGAAGATCATGCCCCAGGTATTGAAGTATTCCCCGAATGCAACCATCCTCATTGTTAGCAATCCGTGCGACATCATGACGGCCATCGCCGCCAAGCTTGCGGGTCCTGACTTTCCACAGGGCAAAGTGTTCGGAGCCGGAACTTGCCTTGACTCATCCCGGTTCCAGACTTTGATCGCCCAGTCGATTGACTTGGATCCCAAGAATGTCCATGGGTACATCATCGGTGAGCACGGGGATTCTTCTATCCCGGTTTGGTCATCGGTCCGCGTTGGCGCACTGCCACTACTGGAGCCGGGCGAAGAGCCCAATGAGACGCTAAAGAAGATCCACAAGTCGGTGGTCAACTCTGCTTACGACATCATCAGCCTCAAGGGCTACACCAACTGGGCCATCGGCATGTCCACCGCTCACATTTGCAAGGCTGTGCTGAACGACACCCGCACCATCATCCCGGTTTCTACCTGCGTGCGCGGCCTCTACGACGTGGAGGGCGACGTCTTTCTGAGCCTTCCCTGCAGCCTCTCGAGCCAGGGAGTGCAGCGCGTGGCAGTGCTGCCCCTAACCGACTCCGAAAAGGCCACCTTCCAGAAATGCGCCAAAGGCATCTGGGAGGTTCAGAAGCCGATTTGGGAGAACTTGCTGCCACCAAAGGAGGTCAAGGCAGAGCCGGCTGAGCCCAAGTCGGAGGGTTGAGAGCGATTCAAGGTTTTGTATGTTTATCTCGAGATAATTCGAGTGATCTGAGCACCTACAAAAGTAGGAAAGCAGCTTTCAGAGACTCGAGACTGCCAGCTTACGACTGCAGGGAGGTATGTTTCAAGAGCGTCATCGGCGCTCTTTAATAGGCTCCCGCAGGCGTTGATACTCATCGTTTCAAGTTTGTGCTGTGAGCCAAGGGATCGTGCAACTGGTTTTAGGGCAACATGAGCTTCGGGGTTGGCTGCATCAGAGATGCAGGTTAGCATATCTTACCGATCTTACCGGTTCCAGTAAGGCCTGTTACGCTGGTCCCACACAAGGCCCTTGGAGTGTGGATCAGTTACACGTGACCGAAACAGCACAGGTCTCACTTGAGCCCATTGCGCAACGAGTCATGTTCATGGTGATCGCACCGTGATCTTGCTATGTTTTTGCACTTAAGGGCGGGTCAAGAAGTGCTGGCGATATCGTGACGAGAAGCCTGACTTGCAAAGAGCTTGTGGCATGAAGGCGCTAGAGTCGCTAGAGTCTGCCGGAATCCTCAAGGACATAGCTGCATTGCGTGGTGGCTTTCAAGTGCCGTAGCGCAATCACTTGGCTCTACAAGGTGGGGCCCCCTAGTTATAAGAGTTATAGTCCCTCAACTACAGTTAGTATAGTAAGGTGGCCCCTCCTTGTAGCTGCAATCTCCAGCCTGCCAAGACAACGGCTGAGGCTTTGGCCGCTTCGTTCCGGCCGATGAGCCTCGCGCAGACCTGATCCGGCGCATGGTGCGCACGGTTTTCCAGGGTTGAGCCCTGCCACTACCTTGGGGACTTCAAGTGAACCCTAAAAAATGGGACTATACCCTCTGCGACTCCATGCCCTGTCAGGGTATATCGACCACAACCCTTTTAGGATTCATTCAGTCCGCAAGGTTGTTGTCTCTTATAGGTGGTAGCTGGCATGTCTGTTGAAAGCCGCATGACGTTGTCGGACACGCGTGGGCTAGGCATTGCTGGCACTCAGCATCTGCTTTGTGCAATTCCACAATGTTCAAGTAGAAAGATGATACGCCGCAAATTGCCGCAATGCCACAGCCCGTCCAATTTGACAAACTCTACTTACGCACTAGATGGACACAAATTTCACTAAAGACCTGCATGCCTGCACCCGAACTTTAAAGCGAATCGAAGCCTTGTAACCCGTGGGCCGCCAGGCCTGGGAGATAGCGGGAAGCCCTGCGCTGCTCAACTCGCCGTTCGAGGCCTTGAGACTGTGGTTCTGACACCACCACGGATTTGATGACGACGCCGACGATTGCTACTGCTACCACTTCTTCCTGGTACGATTACTGCTACTACTACCGCGAGCCGCGAGCACCGTTGGGACATGTGTGTGTGTGTGTGCGCTTTCCGCAAGGGATGTGCTTAA